TTACTGTCTTACCTTAAGGGAGTCACATTTCTCATGGAAAATTTAAAGGTTACTTCTTCCAAGTCTTTTCTTACCATGGCCAGTAGGAAGAGTTAGATTATAGGGAGGTTTCATTCTACTTTAATGGACTTTAGATTTTGGCAACAACTAACTTGAATTGTTCAAATTGGTCATGGGGATACTGAAGCACTGAAGTGAACAAAGCCTGCATCCACATGAGGCATTATCCTTTCACTTTGATGTTTGGAATACAGTTATAATGGGCAATAACAAAGTGCCCTAGATCTCCATAGGTTTTGCTTTAAATTGTGTGTTGCTCCCAAGAGAATATATTCCATTGTATTTACTCTCTTGTTTATATAAAATTCGTGTGAGTTTTGGCTGAGTGTGTCTCAGAAGAGAACTGTTACAAAATGTACAGAGTTCAAGAGATTCTGGCAGAGGACTTTGGAAGGAGATACTGTACCACTTGCTTGCACTTGATACAGCATTTCCGGTGTAAATTTATTATTACTATTTATTAAACTATTTTTTTTTTTTAAGAAATGGTAGTATTTCATATTCTTTGTTAAAAGTCAGTCAAGATACATGTGTCAATGGTTGATAAGAACTAGTCACATCAGTTGAGGTCCTTCCATCAGTTTCCTTTGGGTTTGGATCAGGCTCTGTAGTGACACATTTAATGATGGTATAATTTAAGAGTAAATTGCAAAACATGTTGCAGAATGTCCTGGAAAATTCTGGGAAATTGTATGTCAGAGATAGTTGAATCTCCTGCTGCACTGCAAGCTCATCTGAGGACACCAAGTGAAGGCTGCCATTTAAATCACTTCCCTATCTGAATTTCTAACTTCATCCCCCAACCCCTTTTATTTTTTCTAGAAAGTTTTTGTTTTTTTAGAAAGTTTTTGCCACAGCTTGTGGCTTGGAAAAGAGAAAGTCTTTTTCTGGGATATGGGAAGGTTTTTTCCATCCAGTAGCTGAAGACCTGTAGGAGATAAGCCAGTGAGGAACCTTCCTTCTTGCCACTTTTTCTCCTCTTTCTGCTAAGCCACTGTATCACCATCAGTCCTAAGTCATCTAACTGGTAACATCTCTAGTGCTATTATCAAGGCATATTTTATTGCTTGCTTCCTTCCTGGCCAGCAGAATGAGTGCTGAGGGAATAGCAAGGGTTACCTCATGCCTCAGGCGTGAACATGAGATGATGAAACATGGCTTGAGCCTCCTGCTGCAGCAGCTCCTGGCCAGCTCTCTGAAACAGCTGTGCTTTGGAGGTTTTTTGCCTTTGCTGATCTTTTTGCAGTGGTCAGCCCGAGAAATAGCTGCTTAATGCACACAAACATCTTTTAAACTATTTCAATTAATGTAATGTTTTAAGAAACCTAGCCCAGTTCCATTGTTGATGTCCATAGCTGCCATTGTCTTGGATACACAACTTTGCACATAACTTCATGGGCAATTAATTAATTCCTTTTCCTAAGAAAAAGTTGCTTTATTTTTTTTGTAGTAGTAGCATGACACACTTCTCCAGTGTATGCCTATCCAAGTTAGTTGTTATTCTTTAGGACACAATGTTAGCTTCTTGGTGAATCATCTTTTTTTTTTTTTTTTTTTTTTTTTTTTTTTTTTTGTCTGTGCTTTCAGATCATTATATTCATTTCCAATGACTGTCATTAAGATTGTCTTAATTGAAAGAACATTTGCTGTAACTTCAGCAGCTGTTCTTCTGCAGTATAAAATCATGGTAATTGTTTGTGTTTGTTCAGCACAAGGTCTCTGTGATGGAAAGCAAATGGTCCCTGGTAATAGGTGGTATCTCCCTGCTGTCCTGTCGCCCACGAGCTGGAATATGAGATACACTATTTAGTGTGTGAAATAAAAGCCAAAACCCACTTCTGAACTCTGATTTTACTTGTTTCTGTGACTTATTTTTCTAGAACTGCTTCTCTTATCTTTGAGTTCCTGTCTAGTTGACCAGTTGGATTTGTGACTCAGTTGCCAAGTTACTGGAATAAGCTAATTTGTATAGTGCTCAGGAAAACTTGGAGTGATTTACAGATGCATGAAATAAAAATCCCATCACTACAGTATGTGCCATTTAAAGAAGGCTTTCAGACATGCACATCACCCTCATTTTCAGAGCTTCTTTTTGTGGTTTCCCAATTAAAAGCTATCATTTCCATTAGATGTTAGAACTCAAATTGGCATCTACTGGATGCTATATTCTATCTGTCCTTTTGCTGTGACATTTCTGCTTATTAATTCCAAAGATATGTGTACCTGTACCTCTACACAGACCTTGTTTTATCAGTGCTACCTGTGATCTCAGCTGAGGTGCTGTCACGGGTATTCAGCTGGCAGTTCTTGGTGTGCACACACAAGGCAGGCAATACTTTGGGGCAGCCAAAAGGTGATGCTAAAGCTGCTTTTCTCCTCACAGTGTGCCAGTGTGAGGTGTGTGCCAGTGGGTGTGTTTGTGTGAGTGACAAGGAAAGGTGAGGGTGTTGTTTCCCAGGTACAGAGTTACTGCCCTTGCTCACTTGTGGTCTGGTCATCTTAATACCTTTTAGTGAGTGGTGAGCAATGATGGCATTCAACTGGCATATTTTAATCTAGCAAATCTTCTGCTCATTCGTTTTATGGAAACCTTGGCACCTACTGTATTAAACAAAATCTGAAGTCGTTAAATGGCTGCTAATTTTTGCCTCCATCTCAGTGACTCCAAGTTTCTGGAAATTTATTCTAGACATTGTCTCTGTTCAGAGGCATGATTTCCCTTTCCTGGCTGTTGCTCCTTATGGAAGATGTTTCAGCACTCTTGCAGAGGTCTTGCTTCTGATGCTGTGTTCACTGCTTCACTTTCAGTGGTGCTGTCGTGGCTTTCAGCAGCTTCTCAACTATTTCCACTGTTTGAGATTCTGATACAGAATTACAGCTAGGTCCCACCTTCTCTTCTTTGAGGGAGATTCTGAAAATGTTCTCTAGAAGTTACAAGTCTATCTATAGACATCTTCAACTGAGTGTAATAAGGGGCAAATGTTCATTTGTCTTAAGAGATTGTTCTATTTCATTTATGTGTTGGTCTCTCAAGCCAATGCAAAAATGTCAAAGCGCTGGGTGTGATTGGATATTCTGGCTACACCTGCCAGCAGTTAGAGAGAGTTAGAGCAATATGCAGCAGTGTTTGAGGTAAATGGGAGTTCAAAGAGTGGCTCATGAAACTTTAAATACTGGTGAGGACTTGCAGCAAAAATCTATGGATCTTTCAACTAGGGAATCAGGTTTTCAGTGTTAGCTAGAGGGGAGCATTAGGAAGAGCATCCTAATACTGTGTGGGGTTTTTTCTTTCCTCTCTGACAACTCCTGGACATATCTTGCATCAATTTCTTTGATTTATTCTGCAGTTTATGACAGGAGAATTCAAGGGTGGGAAAAGCTACCATGGTTTTTTTTTGAGAGGGTTGGTTTTCTTTGGTTTTGTGTGCATTTGTTTGTTTTTCTTAACAGTTCAGAGTACAGTGGTATATTCAAAAAAGCAGGGCCAGTTCTCCCTCCTTTTTCCTGTCCAGATAAATCCTCTGTTGAGAAAGAAATGTCCTTGTGCTTTGGATGTAAACCACATGAAATAGAGGATGTGATAGGTAGCCCCATCTGCTTCTTAATGCCTTTATTTCTTTTCCATGAGTTTTTTGTATTTTAAAAAGCTGATATTTAATTTTTTTTTAAGCTGAACTTTTTCTGCTTCCTAAGTTTCTCAGCTGAAGTCTTGAGCAGTGCTTAACAAAAGATGAAGGAGAGCTGTTTCCGTTCTCCCCTTTCTAAGAAAAAAGAGTCTAAATTAAACTGAAATATGTACAAATATATATATTTATATGAAAAAAAAATCTAAGGATTTTGTACCATATAGTCTTCTCACTGCAGCAAAAAGACACTATAAATAATTTACCTGTGACTTCATAAGACTTTTGTATCTGACTTTTTTTCTATAGGTTTTCTTAGTCTTTTGGAAGGAACCTCAGAAATTATTTCAGGGTTTTCTTGTTATTTAAATCCTTCCGATAATTTCTTTCTTCTTTTTATTTGGTCAGTAACCTTGGGTTATTGAGGTTGTAAGTCAGGAAATCTTCTCTAAGACAGCACTAAGAAAAAAACAAATTTATAAATAGATACTAAATTTTTGTGAACTTTTGTGTTGTTTCTTCTTTTCCATAAATAGCTATAATACATTTATTAAATTATAATATAGGCATATTAAGCTTTTGTATTAGATACTGTGAAGTATTTGGCAGAAATTTTAGAACAAAATAGCTGAGGCTGCTGAAGAAATGTCACATTCTTCTGTTGGTTTGTCCAAGAAAAACAATTTGCTGTAGAGCAGCAAATAATCTGCATTATCAAATCTGTCCCATTCCTGTCAGGAGCTGGGTGCCCTTCATTTCCTTTTGAAGCCAGAAGGGATTCAACATGTTGCAGCTCAGGCTGTGCTGAATACTAATGTCTTGATAGCTGGTAGATCATTAGTATTTATTTGTAAAATAGAAGCAAAATTAGTTTTGACCTTTAGAGCTAAGTCAAAAGGTTAATCCATGTCTATTTCCAATTTGGTGCATTAATTGCTCCCTGTCCTAATTGCATGTAGGACAATATTTTCTGTTTTTTTCAGAGGTAAATCAAACTAGTAGGTGATACTTTGCATTCATAATTTTGTTGTTTGTTTTACTTACTAGTGGAGTCTAAATCACTGAATGTATCTTCATGGATTCTGTTTAAATAAATAGATAAATAAGTCAATCAGTACTTCTGACTTTTTTTTCCCCACAAATCAATGCATTCATTCTTCCTAAAGCTGGTGGGATGTGATGTTCTTTTTGATACACAGGGGATAAAAATAAGGTTATGCATTTTTTGGTTATTCAGATATTAGTATTCTTGGCAGCTCTGAATAGGGGGAAAAAAAACCATCGTGTAATTAATAACAGTTTTTGTTTCTGTTACAGCTACACTGTACACATCCTGCATTTTGCTGGGTATATTCCTCAACAGCAGCGTACCAATATTCTTTGAGCTCTTTGTGGAGACAGTCTACCCTGTTCCAGAAGGAATAAGCTGTGGAGTTGTCACCTTTTTGAGTAATGTGTTCATGGGAGTGCTTTTGTTTTTCCTCACATTTTACCATACAGGTAAGAAATACAAGCCACTTGAAAAATTTAATTCTCCTTAAGGAGATACCTTTGTCAGTAAAAGGAAGGCTTTACACATACAATTTCTGTTAATAACCAAATGTTTGAATCCAAGCAAGGGCAGCAAGGAAGGAGAATTTTAATTATTCTTTTCTATATGCATGCTTATAAAAATGACTTAGATGCGAGACAATTCTACCTGAATTTGCTGTAGCCAGAAACCACCAAGGTACATGCTGTCATCATAGTTTATAAAAGCCTGGGTAACGTGACCATTAATAATGTTTGTACCTGTGGGTGTTCAGAACCACAGTAAAGCTCACCCAGCCTCATGCTGCTGGTTACAACTGTATTGCCCAGGAGGGGCAGAGCAGAAATGCCCCAGTTCAAGCCAGCTCCATTCAGTGGATCAGAGGTCCCCCTGCAGGGCAGAGAATTCTCACCACTGCTCAAAGACAGTGAAAACTGCTCAAAAACAGGCATTCCTTTGGGTAATCCCATGGCCTAATCCAGCTCAACAGGATTTCCCTTCATTTTTTTGTCAATTGCTCCAGACTTTCTTGTCTCACAAGTATTATTTGCTTCCTCCTAACTCATAATCATAAGTTACAAGTTGCTGTTTAGTACACTATAATACATATTATTACTCTAAGCTGTAAAATAAGAACCCAGCTTGCTTTCGAAGGGAAGTGGTCTTTATTAATGGCTTTTCAAAGACACAGATTTTTTCTTTGTATTTTGTCATTATGGTAAACATTGGCTTCACAGTGTAATATTTGTAAACCATTAGAAAATGTGAGCTTTTATGTATTGCTACTTCTTAAGATGTATTTTATAACTAAGAGGAGTGTGACAAATTTCAGATTGAATTCTGCTAGCAATTATCAAGGTTTCAACCTGGGGCAATTTTTCAGCCTGGTTTGTCTTTCTGCCAGGAAATTGCAAGCAGGATGACAACCTTGTTCCAAATTGTGGTCTGTGAACACAGAGAGAAATTACTTAATTTTTTAAATACTGATGTTGAACTGTATCATTGTAAAATCTGAATGCCATCTAGGCTAGCCTTGGGTGGTGTGAGAGCTAGTCTTTACATTTTAAATAATACTTTTGATATTAATTGGTGTGAACTCTGTTCACACATACTACTTTTTCTGACATCTGTACCTGAGCCGGAAAGATGACACAGAATATTCTGAGAATTTTTTCAGTGTTTGGCATTACATAATGAATGAGCATGGAGATATGGCGTCTCACTTCTGATGAAAGAATTACAATAAAGTGAACTCATCCCCCCATAAATAGGGTATTTGGGACCATTTTTTGTCTCTCATATTTCTTTCCCTACGAGATATCAGTAAATGCAGGTTAGGATAAATCTGAAATTGGTATACCCATGCACTTAAAATACTTTCCTTATTTCTTCAAAAGGAAAGAAAACAAAGTATTTTTTGCTTAGGAAAATGCATTCTTTGATAGAAAGTATGAGAGAGTTTGTGGTCACTGGGGGGGGATCAGTGCCGGGGGTGCTATTGGCTCCTCTGATTAAAAAAATCCGTTAGAAGGTAGATAATGATCTTAATAATTTGCTTTCATTTGATTCAAATACATCCTCTAATGGCATTTAAGGAGCTTACAGATAAATCAGAACTCAGTCAAATTCATCTTGTTCCCTTGGTCTTTCCTTTTAGGCCAAATAACCTTTCAGTAGTTTTTATTCCAATTTCTCTTTTTCTCCTTGTACTGATATTGCAAATGCTGAGAAGGACCCAAACCCTGGAAATTTTCCAGTGCACTGAAGATTTTGGTTCAGCTAGCAGAGTGGGGATGTAAACCTTCCTAAATCTCAGCCTCACTGCTAGTGCTGTGTCCCAAAGCTACAGCCTCTGCATGAGGTTTCCCTTGCCTTTTCTGCAGGGACTTCCAGGGGAAAAACAAAAGGAAACTGACCTTTGGCTTCACACAGTTGATGCGTCCCCTGCATCGCCAGTGCTGTCACAAATTCTGAATCAAAAAAGACAAGAAGGATTCTCAAGTTAAATTTCATCTTTTAGGATATTTGAGTTAAAGTCTGTTTAATCCAATTAAGGAGGAATGTTATAAGGAAAATAATAGCAAAGCATTTGCCTGTTGACTTCTGGCATCACGTAAGAGTCTTCTCCAAGCCTAGGAAAATTTTACTACGGTTTTAATAATATTACTGCCTAAACAACTCCATAAGGGTTTTTGGTGTTCAAAGTTACTGGTTTTGGAAGGTTGATTTTTCAGGCTTTCTGACAGTTGTCCTTCGCATTGTTTAAAATAAATCATATTTTTTCTTTCAGCAATATAAATTACAGATTTAAGAAAGTTGCAGTTATGAAGCCTTGATTTTGATTAACTCGGACCTGGAGGGAGAGTTTAGATTCCGCAAAATTAAATAAATAATAATAAGAGAAATAATAATATTAATAATACTAGTAATAATGGAAAATGAAAAAAAAAATGAGTAAAACACTATCCAGAGAAAAAAATTTACTTTTTCTCTAGTAAACTGACACATTTTTAAAAAAAATGTATTGTACTTGTTTGAAAAAAAAAAATGCATCAAACTGCTAATTATTAGTCAAATATCAGATGACAGGATTTCTTGAATGTGGAACACAGGCTTTTAAGAGCAGCACATTGTGTCAAACAGCTGAAAAGAGGCTTCTGAGGACCTGTTTTTGCAATGACTTTTAAATTGAATTGATTGTATTATGCACAAGTTTCTTCTGAGGAATTGGTTTTCTCCTCCTTATGCAGTGAGGCAGGATTCAAAATCAAACCCAGTTTCTTCCTATGCTTTTAATTTTAGTTCTCAATCCATAGAAATCAAGGGACTAATGAGCAGAGTCTTTGGAAGTGGTTTATTCTCCATTAGCAATGATGGATTTTATTTTTTTTCCCAGTTCTCTCCATTGGCAGGTTGAATAAGGAGGATTCACGTTAGCTGGAGGCATTGGTTATAAATACATATAACTTGAGGTGTCCATGGGAGAAGGCTCACAGGCCATGTTTACCTTCCATCGATCAGGAGCTGTCAGGATTTTGTCAGAACACAGCAATTTCCTTCAAACCTGCCATCAGTCCAAGTTTTGGTAGCTTTAAACACAGAGCACATTTGATAACTGAGGCTGGGTCTCTGTTCTGCTTTACAGAGTTTTCCTGGTTCAACTGGTGCCTGCCAGGGTCGTGTCTGCTCAGCCTGCTCCTCATCCTGTGCTTCCGCGAGTCCTACGACAGACTCTATCTCGACGTCGTCGTCTCCGTGTGATCACACCAGACTGGTGAGGGCTTGGAAGAGACTGGAAGTCGGCTTTGCAGTCTGCACATCTGCCTGGATTTGCACAGCTGAACAGCAGAAAAACAAAGAAATTTCAAGACTTAATCATGGCTTTATTTAGAGAGGGTGAGGGACGGGTTGTTCTTACGTTCAAGACCATCTTGATTTGCCATAAATGTGGAGCTGGAGTGGTGATGGTGACACCAAAATGCACAAAGAGAATCTCTCTGCTGTCCAGGTCCCTGTGCCAGAGCTGGGGCTCTCTGTTGAGGAGGCTGTTGATGTAGCAGTGAGGTGTATGTTGTGTATGTGTGTGTGTGTCTGTGTGCACCTGTGTGCTGACTCACAGTTCTACACACCTGGGTACCAGTAATCTTCAGAGTCTTCTATCAGAATAAAAATAGGGAATAATCTTAACAAAAGGAAAAAAATAAGAAAAATCTTTTCTTCAAGAGCTCTTTAAAATCACTAGTCATTTATATATTGAATGTCCGTTAAACAGTTAAGCTAAAATGATTTGGTGCTTGTACACTACATTTACATTCTAATAAAGTGGGTTCTGATATAAGACACTGGTACACAGGGGTTTTAGCCATACTAAATAGCCCAAATAATCCTTGCAGTGTTATTAGAGGTGTTTGTTACCACCCTGGAGCACAAGTAAACAATAGCTTTAGCTGCCACTGAATCCCAACCTCCACCCACAGTCATCTCTGAAATGCCACCATAGTTCCATATCTCCTGAATATGGAGCATCTGAGGTGTACTGGAGTGTCACTCTAGGTAAAAGTTGCTGTTCTAAAGGCCACCACTATGTCACCTTTCCATCCTCCATCTCCAGTACTGCCTTTTTTACTGTTTGTGCCACTGAATTCTGTGGTTGTGGATGTCTGAGTCCTGCTAGTTCTCTCCTGATACTCTAAGGTGTGTGTGGTTTTTAGGATTAGTTTATGACTGAGGGTGCCTAAACAATATTTCTTGTAACCTGTCTTGAAAAATCACTGTTTCCTAACAAAACACCTTCCTAGTTGAGGAGGTGCATTGATGGCGAAATGACAATGAGTTTGACAATGAGGAGTAACTCATGAGTTCTGGCATAATATGGGAAATTAATGCCAGCTCTTTTTATCAGTACTAATCTGTGGTCATTCTGGCCCTTACTTGAACATAAATATTAAAGACACTTTGAAAAGTTTTTTAACCCAATTTTTAAACCTGCTAATGATTTCTTAATTATATTCTTAGATTTCAGTTCAGCATAATTTAAAATATTTCTGTATGTGTGTGTGTGTTCTGTGCTTTGTGTTAGGGGGGTGTGTTTGTGTGTATGGGGGTGTGCATATTTATATCAATGTATACACAAATAAAACTTATATATATAAGAGATACATATATATATAAGTTGTGCAAGGGTATGTGTTTCCCTAGGTTTACCCCAGGTGATGCTGTCTGGGGAAGGTGATGTGCCCTTGTTTGTAACTAAGTCACTGCCGTGAGTGGGAACGCGTCATGCGCGGTCTGCGACAGGGATTCTTTTCAGGGGCTGAATGATTTTCTGTCGTGGCAGTTCTGTGGCAGGGGGTGGGTGCATGTGTTGGAGGAGGCTTTGCATCTCTGGAAGTTGAATCAAGCACCCTCTGCTCCTGTGTGGGGCTCTTTGCCCCTGCGGTGACACCAACATGATAAGCTCACTCAAATAAACCCAGAACTACCTTTCAGACATGGATCTGTTCCTTCTGCCTGCTCTCCTTTTGCAGAGAGAATACACCTCTAAGACTTAACTCAGGAGTGTATCTGTGCAGTAAAATAAAACAAGCTGTTCCTTGCTTTTATGTTTTCAGAGCAATTGATGTACTTACTGTAGTAACTGAAAATGGATTTAGTTCATTGCCTATATGGGCTCTAAATGATCTTTCCTGTCTTGAAGCAGGCTCTTTGTGGTAGTGGAGCTAACCTGCACAGGGAAAACTAAATCAGTCCAACCAGATCCACTGGCATGATCCCTTACTTTCAGATGAGTGGTATTAACTGTAAAGCATCTTTTTACTATGTTTTAGTGCCTGGATTAGTTTCAGTATCCAATAGCTGCTGCTCCCTATTGTCTTCTGAAACCAAGGATCGCTTGCCAAGAGTCTGGGGTTGCACTGTCATGGCAGAACTTTCAGCTCAGATAGCTTTTCAGAGCTCTGTTTCTGCAATTTACTGTAGCTATATAAAGATTAAATTTGTTCAGCTCAGGCACTGTCCTGAGTGACAGAGATCTCAAATCCTTCCACTGTCCTGACTATGTTAAGATGGAGAAGCATTTTACATAGTATTCTTACTATAAGCCATTCTTCCTCTGTTCCAGAAGGCATCAAACAATTCAAAATATTTGTCAGTGCTTCCAGATGCAGGCTCTCCATAGAGAGGAGAAAAGAGTGAATCTCTTGTTTTAAACCCTGTTGATTGTTTTTCTGAGTCAGTGTGAATGGCTCACTGTGACTCTGATGCTTTGGTAGCTGTTTCTCTGTGTGGTGGGTTGACTGTGGGTGGACACCATGTGCTCACCACAGCTGCTCTGTCATTGCCCTCCTCAGCTGGGCAGAGGAGAGGAAATAAAATGGAAAGCTCATAAGTTGAGGTAAGAACAGGGAGAGATCACTCACCAGTTACCATCATGGGCAAGACAGACTCAACTTGGGGAAACTAGTTTAATTTACTAGCAATCGTCACAGTAGGGTAATGAGAAATAAAACCTAATCTTGAAGACACCTTCCCCCAATCTCTCCCTTCTTTCCAGGCTTAACTTTACTTGTGGTTTTCTCTCCCTCCTCCTCCCAGCAGCACAGGGGGACTGTGGTCAGACCATGTCTCATCCCCTGAGGACACCTCACATTCTTCCCCTGCTCCAGCATGGAGTGCTTCCCAGGGGAGACAATCCTCCACGATTGTCGCTCTACTAGGAATGGCGAGATGAACGACACAGACTCTCTAAGGAGTCGATCAGGAGAATTTCCTTTTGGTTTATTGCTTTAGATCTTTTTTATAGATCAATACGTGAAAAGTACAGAAAAGAAACTCTTATTGGTTAGTAAACTAACACATCACCATCATTGGTCAGTGGGGTACACAACCCCTCGACCTTCTCTTGCCAGAAAACAAGGAACAGACAAACAGCACCTGCAAGGCTGTTTTCTGTCTCTGAGGATTGTTTTAAATCCTCCCCGTGATTTCTCAGGCAAGACTGAGAAAACTCTGCGGCCTGCTATTCCACAGGCACTATGCTGCCTGCTTCAGAGTTAGCATCCATGCATGATTTCACCAGTGCAGGCACAGAGCTTCGGGAACAATCCTGCCAGCAAACCTGCTCCAGCCTGGGCTTCTCTCTCCAGCATGCTGCAGGTCATGCCAGGAGTCTTCTCCATCAGGTTTCCCACAAGTCCACAGCCTCCTTTGGGCATCCAGCTGCACGGCATGGGGTTCTCCACAGGCTGCAGGTGGATCTCTGCTTCCCATGGGCTGCCTCACCATGGTCTGCATCACAGGCTGCAGGGGAATCTCTGGATTCAGCTCCTGCCTCTCCCCCTGCACTGACCTGGGTACCTGTAGAGCTCCTCCTCCCTCTGGCTGCAATGGCTGCTGTGCCATAGCTTCCCTTCTTACTCTGTTATCCCAGAGGTGTTTTCACCATGGCTGATGGGTTCAGCCTTGGCCTCTGCTCCATTTGGAGCCTGGCTGGTGTTGGCTCTGTCACTCACGGGGAAGCTCCCAGCTGCTTCTCATGGCCCCTCCCTGCAGCCCCTCGCTGCCGGAGCCTTGCCATGCAGAGCCCAGGCCCTGTGTCTGCCTGGCACTGCAGCCTGGGCTGAGTTACAGCCATTGGTGCCTCTGCTCCACGGCAGGGACTTTCTCCAGGGCTGGGCAGCTCAGCCAGACCCCGCTGGAAACCTGTGCCGGAGTCAGGGCTCAACCCGAGCTCCCAGCAGCTCTGATGGAAATCTGCCCAAGTGAAAGTCAAAGGATTGCTCCCAAATTACTTCAAGTTGTGAAGGACACGGCTGCATTCCTCACACAGAGTTCAGGCTTAGGATTTTTAATAGATTAACAAGTCTGGCTCAGGATGGATGTGAGGATTTTGAATGTGCTTGCTGAGATCTCTGGAAAACATTTTATTTCCTTCTGTGGAGGAGCAGTCCATTTCATTTAAGTAACACAACCCATAGAAACATTTTTTGGATAAACTTTATCGCTTGGTTCACCCTTGTTTGGATTTAGCAAGAGTCCAAGCTGCCAGGCTGCCTGCACTTTGTTGGAAGTTTGAGTTTGAAGTGCAGGGAAAGCCCTTAGCAGTACACATGCAATTAGCAGCAGTGCAGAATAGGCTCAATACAGTTAATGTTTTTCTTAATAATGAAAGTTTGAAGTCTCTCTAACTTGAACCAGTCACAGCATTGGCTGCTGTATGGCCTGTGACTTGCCAGCAGAGGAAGGTGCCCTGAGAAGCCCCGGAATTTCCTTCTCTTGGTGATCTGTAGCTTCACAGCCCTGAAGAATGTCTTCCCCAGCAGTGCCGAGCCCCTTAACACACAGGTAGTTGTGTTGTGGTTTGTACAGGAAATGCTGGGAAGGATGTTCCATAGTGACTGTTCTCTCCTAATGGTTCATTTTAAACATGGGCTGCTCCACAGGTTTGTTTGGCTCAGTGACACCTTCGGTTCAGCTTCCAGTACTGCTGGCTCTCCTCCTGAGCTGTGAAGCTGTGCAAGCTCCCATGCTGCTCATGGGGAGGCTCAGGATTACAAAATGCTGGCTCCACTTACAGCACTGGTTCCTGTCTTTGGTCACTGCTGTTACCCATTAACTTCCTCTGGAGTCCTTTGCCCTCCCTTGGGGCTGCCTGCTCCCCTGAGCTGGAGGTGTGGAGAAGAGCTTCCTTCCTTCCAGAGCAATTTTACAGGGAAGGGTTGGCTGCCTGTGTACTTAATGTACATAAGAATAGGGTTTTTTAGAAAATCATGCCAGTTGGAAGAAAGTGCAGACCCCAAAGATTCTGCACGTATTGTGAACAGATAATCTGTTACAAGCAGACTGTAATTTACCTGAAACCTATGATTTTAGCTCCCACTCCTGGAGAGGCCAAGCAGATGGGCACTGTGTGTGTCAGGTATTCAGGCTCACAGCATCAGTTATTCCCAACCATCTGACAGAGCTGAAAGGAGTGGGAGTGGAACAACTTGAATCTTGGAGTGGGTTGGAAAACCCCAAACTCTGTCAGTGTTTGTAGTGGTAACTTGGGGAGAGCAACAGATTGCATTGAGTAACAAGAAGTGCCCAGTTCCAGGGGGCATTTCAGCCCAAAATTTCAGTATTTCAAAATATTGCATTGGACTGATCAAGTCCATATAAAGTTTGAAATTTTGTGGTGATAGAAATGTTATTGCTGGGTTCTTGTTCTACAGTAAACTGAGCAAGTGACTGTGTGGCCTTGCACTGCAACATAAAGAAGCTGCATTGATTGATGTGCATATATTGGCTGTAACAAGAAAAGGAAATGTGATTTAATTGTCAGGAGTGACTGAAATATGAATGGGAATTACACAGTTTGCACTGTGGATATAACTGCTCTGTACTGGTGTGACAGCAGGGCTCTAATTGTTCATTTTTGCTGTTGGGTCACTTGCAAATTAGTAAGTATCTCTGACAAAGGCATTTTTATGTTTCATTGGTTTTGAGGAGGTTCCTTTTATACTAAGTATGGACCATTGTAATAACTTGGCAAGACAACTGCTACAGCGGTGTGGAAACCTACCCCAGTTCTGGGTAATGATTTGGTATTTGATGTTGGGGCTGCTGTTCTCAGGGTTATTAAAGCACCACATGGGAAGAGCAGGGATGTGGAGTGTGCCAGGACGTTGCTGTGTGTGTGAATGCACACGTGAGGGCAGATGCCAACCTTGCCAAAACATACGAGAACTTGTCACCTTCCGTGGGTCCCAGCATTCCAGCTGTGGGGGGAGAAGAGGGAAATGCTGCCTTGTGGCTCCTGCCTCCTTTCCAACAAAGAGACAGCCAGGCAGCCTCCAGACTTGCTGCTTCATGTGAGGGGATCATAACCATCAACGCAGACTCCACTCACTTCCCTGCAGCCGTGACTGCTGCGAGGTGGGTTGTGGGTGGCACAGCAATATCTGCCTTGCTTCCTCCAGGACTGTCACTTCAGCTGGCAGAGAATTGCCTCAGAGCAGGCACAGCCCCAGTGAAGTCAGGAGATGTCAATCTGCTTACAATTTTTGCAGTTTGTGTTTCAAGACAGATGAAGCTAATAAATAGAGGAAGAAATGTAATTCTGTCCAAAGTTTTGACAAGCAAAAGCAAATATTTGCACAGATGTGCTGGCTCCTGCCAATTACTTGGGATTGCAATGTTTTTGGATCAATTCATGCCCCCCACAGCCCCAGCACTGGTTCTTCACTGCTCAGCCCCAGCAGCACCGTGGGAAGCTTCAAGCCCTGGTGGAAGGCAGGGACTGCAGCACAGAGGGAGAAGGGAAGCGCTGAGCCAGCATGCCCAGGAGGGGGGATGTTGGGCACCTGGGTTAATTGCACAGGAGGGGTGTCTACTTTAGCCCAGTTGCTTCAGAACCTCATTTTTTTCTTCCTCAAGGATGAGTTTTCAACCTTCATTTTCTGTTTGTGGCGGGATTTGTGCCACAGGGACAGGGACAGTGACGGTGGTGGCACTCGATGTAGAGGCGCTGGTTTTCCAGGGTGCAGCAGGGAAGGCAGGTGGGACTTGCTCTCTGCAATAAAAGCTTTTCTCTGCACGGTCTCCCTTCCCACTGGCTTCCTCC